TTTGCGTCACTGGCTCCAAAAATCCAAGATGTCAACCAGGAAGTAGCAAAACCCTGGCTTCATTTTCTCAGTGCAGAAACCAACAGGTGACGTCACGGAAGCTACGTCCATCTTTTATACAGTCTGTGGTCCTGAGGTTACAAAGAGGACTAAATACATGTATTCATGACACAGCTGTGAGCAAAACAACAATAAAATAGATTTTTATGCAAACTTTCTAGTAATCCAGGATCAAACATTTCAAGGAAATCTTAAGTTTCAGCTTTGAAAAGCTCCAAGTTCCAGGAAATGAGTTAAAATAAGAACTCAGTGAACGGTAAGAAATGTTTTTAGAAACTTCTAAGGAAGTTTACAGATATGTATATTACACTACACTACACTGACTGTCAGTGTTTAGTCACATGAACAAGTTGTGGTGAGTCACATTTTCTATAGTCTTTCAGTAACAACATCTGCGGTGGATCCATGAAGTGTCAGACTGAGAGAAATTCGTATTTAACAGATTTATTCCCTTCAAACATGATCAAATACTCAACATCAGTAGTCAAGATAAACAGTGTCTTTGATAAATGTATTGTGTACACCCATAGTCATTCAGCAGTCAATTTAAGGCATGCAAAGAGTCCGGTGTCAGGAGACAGCGATCAATACTAAGAGAGGACTTAATGAAGTCGACCGACATGCTAACAAACGTCCCCCAGAACTCGCTGTTTTAAAAAAAGCAGGCAGGAAGCAGGTTATACTGAGCGTTACAAACAGGAAGTTACCATGAATATACAAAAGGATCTGGAGAATGAGAATAGAATTTATAAAAATACAAAGGTCAGGTGTCAAAAGAGCTTTTACAAAAAGAAACAGAAATGAGAAAGAAAAGCAGAAAAACCGACAACTGAAGGTGTTGAAGTGAACATCGAATGAATTCAATGCAGCAGCTATGCAGCCTGTACAGGAAACCGTGTCGGAAATGAGATGTTCTGTGGAAGTTTTTCAGTGTTTGTCAATGAAAACCGTTTATTCTTCAGTGCACTTCAACTGTCTCCAATATTGTTCCCATTTTTACAGACGACAACTGGGAAAAATAAAAAACCTGATTTTCTGCCCTTTAATTAACACTCAATTAATTCAACAAACTGTCAGCTTGAATTTACAGAACACAGCATCAAACAAACTGACATTAAATCTATCTATAGGATTTTAAGGTTATTACTGACGCAGCTAACTTGGTCCAAAATTTACTTAATTGCATAAAATCTCATTTAGATTTGAGGATTCTAAGAAGTTTTTGGTATTGCAGTGTTCATCTATCTGCTGAACACATGATGGGCTCCATGCGTTTCATTTTGAGGCTTTGTGAAATGTAACGATAAACTAAACAGTGATTCACCATGTTATTCTTTGCTGTCTAAACTAACAAGCTAATTTACTGTTGTATTTTTTGCTATCTCTTGCGACATAGGTGGATTTTTAGCCTAGCTACTAACAGTTCCCCTATACTTTTAATGTATTCCGTGCTATGCAATGTTTAACCTAAAGCTGTTTTTGGTATACAGGGTCGTCAAATACATGTGGTTTGAGAATTCGATTAAAATTTAAATGCTAAAGTCACTATTTCCTTTCTAGTTGGCTAATTAGCTATCTTCTAGTTTGAGTCTTTGTGGTAAGCTATGCTAAACCCGACTTTGTTCAGGATTTTTCAAAATATCAACTTAAGTCAAACTAATATCTATTTTTGCTTAAATCATCTGCAGCATTTTGCACAGTTGAGAAGTCATTTTTGGTTTATCTGAATTCTAATAAACATGTTATTTTTCTTACAAAGGTGGACTTCTAGCTTGCTAGGTAACTTGCAAACACTCCTACTTCAGGTTTTGTGCTCAGCTAGGCTAAACATATCAAACTTGTTCGTGTAGGTGTTTTTTTTTTTTTTTTTTTTAATTGTCTTCAAACTAAAATATAGAATGTTCAAAATTTATCTAAAGAATTATGCACCAACTAGTTTTGGTATATTATTATCTTTTGCTATGTCTTGTTGGGAGAAGGATTTGTGGCGAGCTAGGTAGCTAGCTAACAGTTAGGTACTACTTCCACTGTTTTTGCTACGCTAGGTTACACACATCCTGAACTTCTTTCTGTAGTCTGGACTTCTTAAAAGATCTACCGAAAACATATTTAATCTAACATTTTAAAGGGCAAACACATTCAAACTAACACATAATTTGCTTCATTTCCTTTCAGTCCACGTAAATTCTTCAAGCTGACGTCACAGTGACGGTAACAATCATACTTTTTCAAAATCTTGAAAAAGTGTCAAATTTAACCTCAATTTTTCCAGCTGTGGTGTTAAAATTAAAACGTTATCAAACATCATTTCTTAATTGGTTTGGTGTCAGGATTTTTTATTCACTATTACAGCACAGCTTGCTAGTTCTTGCCACTTTGCGTTAGCATTAGCTTGTGAAAACCGCATTGAAAAACAAGGCACTGTTTCTGTTCACTGTGGATTTCAAAATCCTGCTATATGTCTAAAAATACAAGCTGACTGTTTAAATACTGTAAACGTTGAATTTTAAACTTTTGTAAATGCTCAGTACCAAAGTTTTCCTCAGGACTTCTCATTTCTCGGCGTAAGACAGCTTGTTATTGGCAGTTTTCCGTTCAGATATTTACTTCAGAGGTTTTTCTATTTACACAATGTGTGCCAGTTGAAATACAGAAGAGTGACTGTGTAGATTTGTGTGAATGTGTTCACAATCAAAAACCCTGCACGTTAGTATCATAATTTATAATGTCTGAAAGTGAAAACGCAACAGAAGCACGAGAGATTTAACAGTCAGTTCAAATCATCAAAGGATGTGATAAAAACACTGTAGGCAACTCTGAGAGGTAGCGCAAGCAAAAGTCCATACAAAACCGTGTACAAGTCCACGACCAGAGCAAAAATCAGAAAAGCTAGCATTCGTACTGACATCGAGCCGGAACTTTTTTTTACTTTTCTTTTTTTTTTTTTTTTTGCTTTGCATAATGTGATTAGTAAACAGGCATGCTACATACAGTACAGGAGTAGGTGGTAAATAGATGGAGGTGAACTTTATGCTGCGTTCATGTCAAATTGGAATTTTCGCAATCCCAATTTGCAAGCATCACGTCAACACGGCTGTAAAAAGCTCCACTACAACAAATTTCGTGCTAGTTAACATATACCTGTCTGAAAACAAAGATGGCCGCCTTGCATCAGTGAAAGTACCCAATCTAATGGACGCCATGTTTGGACGACGTGAACGCCAACATTCATCCCAAGTGACATAAACGCAGCATCACAAGACTCCTCCCCTCCTTCCCCACCTCTGAGCCTGACCTCACCTGACCTCACCTGACCTCACCTGAGCGCTCCTCTACACTCTGATTGGTGAAAAATGCTTTGAAACTTCTGGTCAAACTCTTAGTGCATTTATGTGCTGTCAGAATATTTGCGAAAATTGGTTCCAGACGGGAAAAAATTTGCCATCCTATATTTGGAACAATTCAGAAAGTCTGCAGAATGTTTTGACGTACTGAATTGTTGACATAATTTGGGTGGTATTAAGAAGCTTTTAATAAAAGTTGCACATTCACGTTCTATAATAATGCACGTATGAAACTGTAAATCAACACCTCCCTACAAAATGCACAACAAAAAAGTTAAAAATTAAATTTGATTAGAACTAGCATAAAATCTTTTTGAATTTTTAAAAAATAAATGTCATAATAATATCGTTATCGCGAGTACGTTTGGCCACGATAATCATGTTATTGTTACGGACCTAAACAGTTTGATTAGGTTGTTACCAACATCATACACAACAAAATACGGTGGATGAAAGTAAATGTTTACTTGGTGGTAAGAAACAGTTCATTATTGGTGCAAGCCGTGATATTTAAAAAATGTAAATACTGATGTTAATTATGCATATATGACAATACTGTAAATAATACAGCATCAGCGACATACAGTTGAGTTACAGATTCTCTCAACTTCCCTGCACTTGTATTGGAGTGTAAATTATTTGTGGAAAAAACAAACATTTAACAAAGTTGAGGATTCATTTAACTATCAGCTTTTTTTTTTTTTTTGGTTTAATTAAATTTTTCTTATAAATATTGTGGAGAATCGTTTTGGCCACAGTAATCAGCCCAAATTGCGTATCAACTTGTTTTTCTGATTTTTAATTTTCAGTTTTTGTTTTCCCACCAATTCTGGAAACAACTGCTGACTTGCTGTTTAAATCCCCCGAGCAACTAAATCCAACCCATCTTCTTGGAGCGTCCATGTTGTTTCCATATTTTCACTTGAAGCACATGAACGCACCGAAGTTAGACTTTCCCATTCGAGGATGATTTATATATACCCTCTACAAAGACCCAGATTACATTTTTGGCGGCAAGTTGATTGCAGGTCTTCATGAGGAAGCAAAGAGAAGAAGGGAATGTCTTTACTCCTTCGTACTATTTATTTACAAAGTGCTGCTCAGTTAGCTGTCCCGCTAAATGAGGCTAGAGTTTTATTCTTATTATAAGCATTCTGTTATAAATATTGTAAACATGCACGGATTATAGGAGACGAAGGGGCTTATTTAAGTTCCACAACAACAGCTTATTTCCTCAAAGCTCCCCCGCAAACCATCTGTCCACAACGTGTCCATTAGTGCCAAACGGGCTAAAAGAGGAAGCTGTGAGACGTTTTCTGTGTAAAACAATTAAGCTGTTAATCAGCCAGTAAACGTTGATCGAGCTGGAGTTAAACTAAACTCAGAATCAGTCGATGTTTTGTGATGTGACTGCACTCTATTTGGTGCTCAAACAAGAATGGAAATACAATAAAAACAGAAAGTCTGGGGCTCTGTTTGCTGTAGAGGAGCTTTCACTGGACAAAAGCCTTTACATCAGTGTTTAGGGGGTTGATAAGGGTCAAGATGGTAAAGTTGTGTCCCAGTAGTTTTAATCAGGTTTGATATGTAACATGTTCACACTGGAGGTACACAAAAATCAAACTGAACACAATGTAATGCTCACATGGCTGCAATATGTAGGCAAACTAATTAACCTGAGCGTGGTGGTTTGTAGTTTAACGGTGTAAACGACCAAGAAAAGTACCAACGTTTGTTGTCGACTCACCGCTGTGAACCTGCTTTTATCCACAGTTGTGTTGGACGTGATATTTAAAATAACATATTCAAAGTACTGTGGGAACATCTGTGGCATTAACTCTACCCAAAGAATGATCACTACATCTGGTGGATGGAAATCCAGTTATAACGAATTAAATATTTGGAAATTACTTTTGTTTTCTGAAGTTCTGTCGATGGTGGTTCGACACCCTCGTGCACAAAATAAATTGGTAACAAACCGCCCGTTCAACCTCCAATGACAAATTTTGCGTCAGATCATTCTGCAGTATAGAATGTTCTGGATGCAATCTTTGAGGAAACTTGAAATGATTCTCAGCCTGTAGGTTGTTTTCGAAAATGGTAACTTGTAGATTGCAGACGTGGAGAAGAAAGAAGAAAGTCGGACTGTTCAGACTCCACATGTACTTGTGGATAACATGAGTGGAAACTTACTCACCAACAAAGTATTGAATATTTGGAAAATGAGTTTTGTTTCCTAACGTTTTCACAATGTTGATTTTTTTGCTTTCACACCAACAGCAAAAACAGCATGTGGCAGGTGGGACATCTTCAGTCTTGTTTGACTCTGAACCAGAAACTTGTGTAGGACTAGATGAAGGTGGTCTTTTCTGGAGTCGTTGGAGAAACCAAACACTGAACGTAATAAAAGTGTCGCTGCGCTTTTTGGTAAGTGGCCATTACCTGGTGTAAACTGTAAAGAAGCAGGCCTGTGGAGGAACAGGAGGTCTAAATAAAAAGGCTGCAGAGGGAAGAATTGATCCGTCTAACATGAGATCACAAACACTCAGAGTTGAGATGTGCGGTGAAACCTTAACCACCCAAATGAATAGAAAGCCAAGGGATCACAGAGAATAAAGTGAAATTGCCTGTCAGTCAATGTCCATTAGGTGGAAAACACTGTGGTCAGAGAGGAGCTGAATCTGTGGTGAGTTCACTGTCTGTAATAACTGTAGGAGAGTGGAGTGTCTGTGGTCAGTTCACCGTCTGTAAAAACTGTAGGAAAAGTGGATTGTTTGTGGTGAGTTCAATGTCTGTAATAGCTGTAGGAAAGTGCAGTGTCTGTGGTGAGTTTACTGTCTGTAATAACAGTAGGACACTGTGGTTAGTTGACTGTCTGCGATGAAAGTGGGACAAATTAGTGTCTGTGATTGATTTTATAGTCGCAGGATATTCGTAGTTACTTAATCAGCTGCTGGAGCTGATTTCATGCTTCAAACTAAATGCTGGATGCGACGTTGAAGGTATCAGAATGGAGATGTGACTTTGTTTCCATCTTTGTCCTCCTTCCTTCACAGTAACAACAACTCTTCCTTTCACAATAAACTTCCAGCAGCAGCAGCAGCAGCAGCAGCATCTCACAGTTTCAGTTCAGCTGAGACCAAGTTTCTACTTTTTTTTGGCATTAAAACATAAAAACTACGTCCTCCCAGTTCGCTCCTGTGGCTCGGACGCTCCTTTAGAGATCAGAATAATCCCATTTCCATAGAGACAGATGCTTATTTCCATGACGACGCTTGTTCATCGCTGGGAGAAAGCAGTCCGAGGAGGAGATAAGCTGCTACCACAGAATGAGACGATCTAGTGGTCGGTTCCTTCTTTCCTGTCCCAAAATCAGGCATCGGTGACGGGTTGGCTGGTCGGAGGTAGAGCGTCAGGCAGACCATGCTTGTCGTGCAGCAAGAAACAACAGCGAAGAACAGATTTTTATTAGTTTTCATCCGGTGCAGGCGCTTGAGAACATTAGTGCTTCGAGAACGGTGTCGTGTCGATGGGATGTTGTCGTGAAGTCCGTGCCGGGTGATTTTGATCAGGATTTTAATATCACTGGAAAGACATAAAGACAGTAGTTTTGCATTTAAAACACCCAAACTAACAGAACAACATGATAATAACATAAGCTTTAAGTAGGTTGAAGTCAGGAGTGACTTACATCCCCAGTTGAGGGCGATGGCGGCGGCGATGATGGCGATTCCTCCTAAAATGGAGACGACGGACAGCACCATGGCGTTGCGGCCCAAACGGCGAGCTCCGTCTATGTTGCCTTGCTGCAGGCTGTTTCGGGACTAAACAGAGGCAGAAGATGATTTAATCAAATGTGAAATAAAATTCGACCAATGGAAACAGACTTTGTTGTCTGGGGAAAAAAAATGATGATTGAATCAGCAATCAGCTAAAATAAGTTGAAAAACATCGATGTATTGGAAAGATCTAACACCGTTGGGGTCGTTGTGACACTAACCTAAACTTACCACCGCATTAATCTATATTTTTTAATATTATAGACTACATCACAGTTTCAAACAAAACTATTACAGGACTAGCAAGCTGCTAACATGCTAGTCAGCTGCTCTCCAGGCTAAGCGACCTCATTAGCTTGATCGCTAACTAGTTTTTCTAGCATGGACTCATGCGAGAACAGCTTCCACTTTTTTGTGCTGTTAAGATGGTTTGCGTCAAAGTTAACTTCAAAGTTTTGGGGTACTTGTTCAGTTTGGTTGTTCTTGAGAAGATTTTGCAGCTGAATTAGCTAAATAGCAGGTGGTGGAGACCAAAAACAGAGCAAAAACAAACAATGTTTCAATGGGATGCTTGTTGTGTTGTTGTCAGCTTTTGCTAACATGTTTGAATGAACAGTTTTTTGGTCTTGTGAGCTAACTGGTGTTCGTGTCGTACCATCACAGAGAAGGTGAGCGCTACGATGTTGATGGGCCACAGTGGGCAGAAACAGGACAGGATGGCGAGGATCAGGTAGTCCCTCGGCTTGGATCCGTCCACAGCAGCCTCTGTGATGGCACTGGGCTGGCGGGTGAGCGAGGGCCTTGGTGAGCCCGCCGCCAACGAGCCGGACCGGCTGCCCAAGCGAGGCCGGCCATTAGCGTGGCCGCCTGGCTTAGCATGGAGCTTGGGCGACACAGAGGCCACTGTGGGGGATGAGTCAGCCATCACCGGGGCAACGCCGTTACCTGGACGACGAAAAAACAAAATCCATGTAAGTAAATACACAATTCTCTTGTGTTTCACTCACACTGTTGATTTGGGTATTTCCACAGGATTTGTCTGTAGAGGATGATAGAAAACAACACAAGTTTTGTCCTGTAAATAACTTTAAACCCTTTGAACATAAGTGCACCAACATTATGTCAAAATATTTAAAAACTGGTACATTGTCTTGTCATACTTTTCACACATTAAATTCTAGCTAGTTTTGGAGAAATTTTCTTTTATTTATTTATTTTATTTATGTACCTAAATACCTCTGACTTGCTGTTCTTTGCTGTTTTGCACTTGAATATGTTTGCAATTTCATTGTAAATGCACAATGACAAAAGATACTCTTATGTTATTCTGTTCTACTGATGTCAGAGGCCTCAAAAGTCGGTAAAATCTCAAGTATCTACTGAAGATGTGAATCTGCTCGGAGCAGTTGTTCTGTTTGCGTTGTATTTACTGGTCTCCATGGCGTCACTGATCACTGTCAGGTGGTCCATCTCTGTTTGTTTGCTCTCTAGAGCGTCCGTCGTCGAGGGCAGGGTTTGTTGCTCAGCACTGGTCGGTTGTGAGGTCACAGCTGAGGCAGCAGCCTCTCCGTCTGGCTGCATGCTGATTGGCTGATCTGGCTGCTGGGGCTCCTCCATGCTGCTGGGCTGCTGGGCGGCGCTGGGACTGGTGGCCATTGGATGGTGCAGATGAAGCTAAATGTCGAAGACAAGCGGAAGGCAGGGCTCACTCTGAAAATAATTCAAGAGACAGAAGCAGTGAGGATGCTGCCTTAAAACTCGCTAAAGGATGGTTTTGATTTTTGATTGGTTGATTGATTTGTGGGCTGCAAGGTAGCTCAGTGGTTAGCACCGTCGCCTCGCAGCTACAAGATCCCTGGTTCGCTTTTTGATGAGTACACCTGGGATCTTTCTGTGTGGAGTTTGCATGTTCTCCCCGTGCAGCGTGGGTTCTCTCCGGGTTCTCCAGCTTCCTCCCACACAGTCCAGAAACATGTTGAGATTAATTGGTGATTCTAAATTGTCCGTAGGTGTGAATGTGAGTGTGCTTGGTTGTCTGTCTCTAAGTGTAGCCCTGTGATAGACTGGTTACCTGTCCAGGTGAACCTGCCTTCACCCTGAGTCAGCTGGGATAGACTCCAGCCCCCCATGACCCTATTGAGGATTAAGGTGTATAGATAATGAATGGATGGATGGATGGATGTGTCTATACGTGTACATTATACGGGCGAACTCACTCATGTTGCTGTGTGACTGTGGATCCTGCTGGTTGACAGACTGTGAGTCTTTTAGATAAAGTTTTAAAGAAAGACTCAGTAAGTGATTTTCTATCAGATAATTTTTTCTTGTGGATTAATCATTGGAAGATGGGACCGTGAGAGTTATCTCTTGGTATCAAGCAACAAAAAAGCTGCAGCATGAAATGTTTAAGCTACTTGGCGACCTTACAGCCCAGTGTTCGATAAATCCTGCAGCTCGACTTTATGGACTCTAACAACCTTAACACTGCTGAAGGAAAAACAAAAGCAGGAAAGTGTTTAAAATCTGAAAAAAAAAAAAAGGTTTCTTAAAGTCTAAGCTCACCACTGAAGATGATTCTGTTTTGAAGTTAAAACTAAAATACAAAGAATAGAGAGTTGTGTTCTTAATTTAGTAAATTCTGTGTCTGGGATGAAGCTGCTTCTGAACAAAGCTTGATGTGTTGATCTTCTGACGATGTTCTGACTTTGTGCTTTGGACACCACTGATCCACTTCAGACTGAGTGTTTGAGATGCACTTTCCAGGTGCTCTCAAACTTTTGGAATCCACTGTGTCTATTTTTGTACATTATGTTGGTATTTAAAGCTGCAGCTAATGATTATTTACATCACTGATTAATCTGGCAGTTATGTTTTGTATAAACTGATCTCTGAAGTGTCAGAAAATGGTAAAAAATGTGGATCAGTGTTTCCTCAAATGTCTTGTTTTGTCCAAAGATGTTCAGTTTAGGAGGAAAGAAACCAGAACATCTTCACATAGAAGAAGCTGCAACCACAGAATTTACAGAATTACTAAACTGATTATTGAAATAGTTGATTGTTCAGTAACTGATTTATAGTAGAAAACTAGTGGATTAGTTGCTGCAGCTCTACTTAAGCTTCACTTTGTAGGTGTTTTGCGTCACTCTTTTTCTTTATTGTCGTGTTGTGTCTCACTTTTTATCACTTACTGTGTGTTTTGTTTCACTTTCTGTTTATTTTGCATCTTAGTTTTTGTTTGTTTTTGCATCTCTGCAGCTACGCCATGAGTTGTGGCTGTTTTGCTTCTTGTTACTATTTCAAAGAGTTTTTTTCTTTTTAAAAAAACGACCCGAACAAAAAAAGTGTTATTAAAATAGTTGGCGGTTAATTTCATAGTTGACAACTAATCTAATCATTCCTGTTAAAAGAGGCCGAACAAACTTCTCATGCCAAAGGTGTCGTTACTTTTCCAGGGTGACATTTGGGAATTTTTTTACCTGGTTACCAGAATATTTGGCGTTTAATTTAACAGTTGAAAACCAACTGACTATTACAGCAGCTGTCTGGCTGTTTCTGTAATAATGGTTCGTTCTGCAGATACACAGAACACCATCAACTCATTTTAAGTAAAGCAACTGTCCTCAAGGGCTGCACGGTGGTTAGCATCGTTGCCTCGCAGCTAGAAGGTCGCCGGTTCGCGTCCCGGTGAGGACACCCAAGATCTTTCTGCGTGGAGTTTGCATGTTCTCCCCGTGCAGTGTGGGTTCTCTCCAGGTTCTCCAGCTTCCTCCCACACAGTCCAAAAACACGTTGAGGTTAATTGGTGATTCTAAATTGTCTGTAGGTGTGAATGTGAGTGTGCTTGGTTGTCTGTCTCTAAGTGTAGCCCTGTGATAGACTGGTGACCTGTCCAGGGTGTCCCCTGCCTTCACCCTAAGTCAGCTGGGATAGACTCCAGCCCCCCATGACCCTAGTGAGGATTAAGAATAGATAGTGGATGGATGGAACTGTCCTCAATTGTAAATTTAATTATAGAAAAATAAATAGCAGAGTAATTTACAGAAGTGAACCCGTCTACAGTTTGTTTTCTGGTGTATCAGACAAATCCAGATCTCAGAAATAGTCGCAGCTTCGAAGCTACAAATGTGTGAAATGAGACGTTTCTGCAACAATAAATCTCTGGACTCCTCTAACTAGTCTGTAATTACTGGCTGTCGGTGTTTAGCCACAGCGTAATGACTGACAGCTTAATATTCCCTCTCAGTGGCGGGTAAATTACACGATTGATTTCATGCTCTTTTCATTTCACGGAGGCGTTTGGTCCAAACTCCTGCAGCGACCGGTGGGGTTTTAAAACGAATCCGCCTACAGGAAGAAGCGCGAGCCAGAAAACCTGAGCAGCAAGAAAGTGTTGAGTCACTGGAATCAGCCTACACAGATGCTGCCGCAGATCTGTTTTATAAAAACATTTTCTTCTTTGGGAAGCTGAGATGTTTCTGACGCATCGGTGTCATAGTTTCAGCTGTTAGATAAGCTGTCAGAGGAGACGACTCAATATTTCATGAAGAATTCAACCTCGAGGTCCGTGTTCTGGCTGCGTCTCCACGTTTCCAACACGAACAAGACGCTTGTTTGGAGATCCTGACAGGGAGGAGTTCTTACACAATCAAAAGCTGCAGAAAATCCACTAAAAAAGGCCTCAAGTCAAGAGTCTGTATGTGTTTTCTGTGAATTAAAACCTAAAGGAACCCAAACTCCGCTGGAACATTTCTGATTTCAGGCAGCAAACACTTCAGCCTGGTTTTGTTTCCACAGCAGACCTCAAAGAAACCAACTTTGAGCATCAGTATGTGACAAAGCTGTCCCAAAGTCACGTTAAACTACCAAAACATCACACTAAACGACAGAAACGAGTCACAAAATGTCACAAGACAAGAAAAAAAGACCCAAAAATGCCTAAAACTAGAAATAAAGCAAAAAAGTGAGACACAGAATGTCACAAACGAGAGAAATGAGACACAAAACAGTAAAAGAGAGCCTCAAAATGTCACAAAACAAGATGTAAAATGCCTGAATCTAGACACAAAGCAAAAAAAAAAGAGACACAAACTGCAGCAAAACGACAAACCGACACAATCCAAGACTGCAGAAAACCTTAAAAGGCCTCAGGTGCAGAGTTTTCATGTGCTTTATGTGAATTAAAGCTTGAAAAAAAAAAAACCCAGACTCAGCTGTTTTCTCTGGAACTTCTCTGGTTTCATGCAGCAGACGCTTCATGACTTCAGCCTGGGTTTTTGTTTTCAACCTTAAACAGACGTTTGTTTCTGACAGCGAGGCAGAAAAAAAAATGCAATAATGCTTTTTCATTACAGAGCTCGGTTTTTAATATCGTCTCTGTTCGATTAAATCTCAAGACTCGTCGCGTTTAATAACAGCGACGATATTAAAGAAACGATCTGAATACACGCAGAACTGGAACATGGAATAAATTTCACAAGCTCCGCACGAGAATCAATCCGAGCCTCCCGATTCTGTATCTGCAGCGACTTTAGTATATTTAATGAAGCCGTGAGAAGTTTTACCTTCATACTATGGATATTATCAGCGTTACAGGCCCCTGAAGTCCACAGAGGGGGCTCCACATTTCACACCTAACACATAACTTCAGGACTGGAAAACACATTTCAGTTCTGTTAAAAACTGCAACCAAATCAAGGAAACAAAACAAGAAAAACACAACACAGAATGTCAAGAAATGAGAAAAGAGAGACACAAAATCACTAAAACGACAACAAGAAAAAAACTGTTCCGAATAAAACTGACAAAAAAAAAAGACAAATTTCACAGATATCTGATGTTGTTTTCACAGTTTTGTAAACTTTCCGGCACTCTTGCTGCCAGATTGTTTTTACAGGATATTTTCTACGCCGTATCTGTCTTAAACACAGTCTTTAATGTGTTTTTAATGCGTTAGCTGATCCTGCAACATCCTGCAGCTCCTTCGTGGCTCTTTACTGTGACCTGCTACAAACCGATCAATCAGACGGACCCATTGATCCGATCACCGGCTCGGAGCTCCTTAAAGAGCAGATTTGGGATAAAAGCTGCGCTGCTGCACCAACACGACGACTATTGTAATGACCTGCCAGCGCTGGATTGATGACTTGTAGCGTCCAGGTCCCCGGAGGGGCCGAAACGCTGCAGCGACGCTTTAATGCAACCGCTGAGCGAAGCAGAGTGTCGGAGCTCCACTGGTTCTGTAGCAGGTTACAGGATACGACTGCAGAAACGGCTGATGTAGAGACCAGGACACACAGGTCAACCATAAAACTCCTGACTGATTCATCATATTGGAGCTTCAGAGATCCTCATGTACAAAAACACATCGTTAAAATAAGTTCTTCTGTCTTTTATGAAACCTCTGAACCCCAAAACCTGCAGTGCGGTTAGAAGAACACGTTAACTTGAAAATAAAATCTCCAAAATGACACCGTTTCTCAGGCAGAAACTAAAAACAGAAAGAATCTTAAACTTTCTGCTGGGCCTTGAACGCAGCATGTTTCCAAATCTCCACCTAAAATGTAGATTTAAAAAATCACTTTATTGTTTTTTTATTTTTACACTGTGAAACAAAAAGAGGTTTACATTCGGGTTGTTTCTATCATGTGTGGGTTAAA